CGGCACCGGCACACCGGGTTCTAGTCCCTGTCGGGGCGCCGGATTCTGTCCCAGTTGCCCCTCTTCCAGGCCAGCTCTCTGCTGTGGCCCGGGAGTGCAGTGGAGGATGGCCCAAGTGCTTGGGCCCTGCACCCCATGGGAGACCAGGAGAAGCACCTGGCTCCCACCATCGGATCAGCGCGTGCGCCAGCCGCATCGCACCGGCTGCGGCGGCCATTGGAGGGTGAACCAACAGCAAAAGGAAGACCTTTCTGTCTATCTCTCTCTCTCACTGTCCACTCTGCCTGTCAAAAAAAAGAAAAATGGTTGAGAGGCCGGCACCATGGCTCACTTGGTTAATCCTCCCCCTGCAGTGCTGGCATCCCATATGGGCACCGGGTTCTAGTCTCAATCTCTCCTCTTCCAGTCCAGCTCTCTGCTGTGGCCTGGGAGGGCAGTGAAGAATGGCCCAGGTGCTTGGGCCCCTGCATGGGAGACTGGGCTGAGGCACCTGGCTCCTGGCTTCACATCAGCCTAGCTCCAGCTGTGGCAGCCATTTGGGGGTTGAACCAATGGAAGGAAGACCTTTCTGTCTCTCTCTCACTGTCTAACTCTATCTGAAGGGAGACCTTTCTCTCTATCTCTCTCTTTCACTGTCTAACTCTGTCAAATAAATTTTAAAAAATGGTTGAAAATACTTTGCTGCAATTGATTTCACTGAAACCAAAGTAGTATTTTTTAATGAAGATTTAATCATGTCTCTCAAAAAATTAATCATGTTCCTCAATGCCTTTAGGATAAACTAAGATTAGAATAAAGCCCAGTCGCTTAAATATGGTTCAGAGTTCCTGTCTAATCTGAACCATGTCTCCTCTCCATCATTCTGTCATGGGATACAGTAGTCCCCAACTGGATTTATTCCAAGTTCTTGTCTCAGTGTGAGAAACAAATTCAAAGCAGAGACATAGATAAAGTACAAGAATGGAAAAAGGATTTATTTAAAGTGATAGTATATGTTCAAGAGTACAGGCAGTGTCCATTCATGAAAAGAGAAGGGAGGTCTGCTACCACCCATTGCCCCTTTAATGGGTAGGCGTTGGTGCCCTAATTGAATATACAAATATTAAGGAGTATGGGAAGGGCTTCAGTGTTCTCAGTGATCTCTGATAAGGTTTCATAGCCTCTGCTTGTGGAGTTCAGAATATACAGGGTCATCATGGTGTCTTATACATGATGGAGAAACTGCAATTTAGGTACCTATGGGAAATGGATGTGTTGAGACTATTGTATCGGGACAGAGAAGGTGAGGTATGAGGGTGCAGGACTATGGCTGTCAGACTGCTGGAAGTCTCTCACTTCCTGTGTTTACTAACTCCCTGCCTAGCCCATATCAACTCCATTCAGTGTTGTGCTTTATAGCCAGTTAGTACCTGCAAAAACCACTTGTTAAGGTTTCTGTAATTTTGTGATTCAGTTGTTAAATCAAGGGTAGTTTGAAATCAGCCACCAAGCATGCTTTATACCTTGGAGATCAAAATTATACCCTAAAAATTAGAATTTTGTTTTTTGTTTACAGGGAGCCAATTATTAAACTTACGTCAGTAACCAACCCCAACTGCAACCCCAAATTCTACCCCAACTTCTAGTTATTTGTCTCTAAAATATCTTCTCAGGGTTGTGTTTTGTTTTTGTGAAAGGAAGAGTTTTTTAACATATTTCCCAGATAACATATACATTTTTATCCTTCATAAAAATATTTTAGTTTAAGTGTTAGAAAAAATGCACTGAAGAGGGAGCATATTTATTTTTCCGCTCTTCTATTTCATATTGCTTACATTTTCCCTTCAGATCACCTGAGTGTTCACTGCTCACCAGTTTTCAATGATTATTATAGATAGTAACAGGTCTTTAGCTTGCGTACCCTGAATTGTTATGGCTCTCCTTTTATCATGTGGGCATGATAGAGCTAGCACTAAAAGTTGAAAAAAAATTAAATATAAAAAAAAAACCTGAAAGTACAGTCTGTACTCTTCAGAAATGTATAATCTACCTAAGGAACAAAATACATCTACAAAAGAGTTGAATAGCAAAATAGGTAGTAAATGATTAAGACCCTAAATAATTATTTTCCTTGAAGATCCCTTGCTATTGATTTAACAGTGATCATGAAACCTAATCTTTCCATTGGTTCCTTCTTCTATGTAAGGAGGATAGTAACACCAGTCCTGCTTTTAGAGTATTGTATTGATGATCAAATGGAATAATGTGTTTTTACACAATTTAAAATTTATAAAGTGATAGATAAACATGCTGAGTAATAGCATAATTAAAGCTTATAATGCAATAGAAAAGAAGGAGTATGTATCTGAGCTTTTCTGAGGTGTAATTTATTTACCCTTTGTCTAAAAAGTGTTAACTCTGTGGATGTTAGGTCTCTGTAGTTCAAGTTCCCAGTTTATTCTCATTTGCTCTGTATGTTCTTCCTGTGGAAAATTCTCTAAGTATCAGAAACAGATTTACTTTTTTTCAGATTTTCCACCCTACCTTGATGGGTGTTTGGTTTTGTTTGTAGTTGTTGTTGTTGTTTTTTACAGGCAGAGTGGACAGTGAGAGAGAGAGAGAGACAGACAGAAAGAAAGGTCTTCCTTTGCCGTTGGTTCACCCTCCAATGGCCGCCGTGGCTGGTGCACCGTGGCTGGTGCGCTGCGGCTGGTGCACTGCGGCCGGTGCACCGCGCTGATCCGAAGCCAGGAGCCAGGTGCTTCTCCTGGTCTCCCATGCGGGTGCAGGGCCCAAGGACTTGGGTCATCCTCCACTGCACTCCCAGGTCACAGCAGAGAGCTGGCCTGGAACAGGGGCAACCAGGACAGAATCTGGCGCCCCGACCGGGACTAGAACCCGGTGTGCTGGCGCCACAGGCGGAGGATTAGCCTAGTGAGCCACGGTACCGGCCCTGTTTGTCGGTTTTTTGCCCCCAAAACTTGATAAAATGTAGTACATAATTCTCCCTGCTTTCTGTGTGCTAGCTTAGCTGCCTCCAAAAATGGGATCAGCTTTCAGTTTCTTCTGACTTCTACAACTGGACATTAAGGATAATAAAAATGAGAACTTTGCTTCCAGCATCTTACAAGATCCCCAGAGATGCTTTATGACATATCTGATTTCCTTTTTCATGTGAGGTCCAAATCATGTGCCCTCTTGTATTTTAATTCTTAAAGTTAAATTTATAAAATTTATTCTTTTTTTATTTCTCCACCTTTTTCTAGGTCACTTAGGTTTCTTTCTCCATAGCCTTTACCTTGTATGACAAAAAAAAATAGCTTTTCTTTCTTAAGGAAAAACCCAGATTTTCCTTTGTAATTTATCTTCTTTCCTTATTACTATAAAATCATCAACTCCATCTAAATTTGTAGCGACAGAATCTCATTCAAAACAGTTGTGGAAATTATCTAATGAGCTTAAGTCTTTTGGAAAGAATAGGCACATTTGATATGTAAGAAGAGAGACTGGGGGGCGGTGCTGTGGCATAGCAGGTAAAGCCGCTTCCTGCAGTGCGGGCATCTCATATGGGCGCCAGTTCAAGACCGGGTTGCTCCACTTCTGATCCAGCTCTCTGTTATGGCCTGGGAAAGCAGTGGAGGATGGCTCAAGTCCTTGGGCTCCTGCACCCACATGGGAGACCTGGAAGACGCTCCTGGCTGCTGGCTTCAGATCGGTGCAGCTCCTACTGTTGCAGCCAATAGGGGGGTGAACAAACAGATAGAAGATATCTCTCTCTCTCTCTCTCTCTCTCTCTCTCTCTGCCTCTCCTTCTCTCTCATGTAACGCTGACTTTCAAGTAAATAAATAAATCTAAAAAAAAAGAAGAGGGACTGAGCTAATACTTGAACATTATCCTTCCAAGATGACATCTTTCTTTTTCTTCATTTATAATTGTTGCTAAGAATGTTTATAATCCAAATTTTAATATTTTTAATGATGTCATTTCTGAGGTTGTTGAAAATTTTCCTGGTAGGCTTAGATAAAATTCCAGATGAACTTTTGTTTTTTTACTTAATTAGTGGACTTTTGTATACAAGGGGTCTTCAGAAATTCATGGAAATTTCACATATCTTCTAATTTCATTTTTCCACAAATTTTTTCCTCAGATAGGGTTAGAGCTATATAGAGGAGCTATGCAACAAGGTCCTGTATTGCTTCCTTATTTAGGCGGGTTCTTTCTCCTAGACTAATTTCTACTTTATAACCATATATTTTATTATAATTCTTTGTTCATATAAACAGCCAGGAAATACATTTAAATGGGGGAAAGAATAGGATAAAAAGAATATAGAGATCTTTTGAGGACCTCTGGAGTTCTTCAGAAATCCATAAAAATTATACAGATTCTCTTTTAATGAAATTCTTAAAATTTTGGCATTGATCGGGCCTAGCTCTAGAACGTATATCCCTGATATGTGACTCTGTTTAATTCATTTAAATAGAATTGCTGGCCGGTGCCATGGCTCACTAAGCTAATTCTCCACCTGCGGCGCCGGCACCCCGGGTTCTAGTCCCAGTTGGGGCGTCAGATTCTGTCCCGGTTGCTCCTCTTCCAGTCCAGCTCTCTGCTGTGGCCCAGGAAGGCAGTGGAGGATGGCCCAAGTGCTAGGGCCCTGCACCCGCAGGGAAGACCAGGGGGAGGCACCTGGCTACTGGCTTCAGATCAGCGCAGCACGGGCTGTAGCGGCCATTTGGGGGGTGAACCAACGGAAGGAAGACCTTTCTCTCTGCCTCTCTCTCTCACTGTCTAACTCTGCCTGTCAAAACAAACAAACAAACAAAATAAATAGAATTGCTAAAGTAAATATATGTAAGAGATAGTTATATTTTTGTTATTTTAATTTCAAAATAGATGTGACTTGGTTATCAGTAATTTTTAAAAATAATGCTACCAATTTGCTAATTGTCTAGTTGAATTTCAATAATTGAAAACATTACTTTTGAATTTTTAAGAATTTATTTCACTCTTTTTTTTCCAGCTACATTGACAAGCTATTCTGAAAATGTGGAACGCACGAAGTATGTTGGGGAAAGCAGTAAAGAATTAGGATCTGGAGGAAACCTAAAACCATGGCAGTCTCAAAAATCTAGCATGGACTCCTGTTTGTATCGAGTAGATGAAAATATGACTGCTTCTACCTATAGCCTGAATAAGATCCCAGAGAGGAATTTGGAAACAGTTTTATCTCAGTCAGTACAGTCTATACCTTTGTATCTTATGCCACGGCCAAATTCAGTAGCAGGTAAGTTTGTTTCTTTTTATTGGGGTGTATATTGAAATGAAACTAAATCCTGTTCTAACATTATGTAAGTTTTTCTTTCATCATCTTTGACTCAATTATCTTATGTTTGGGAAATATATCTGTGTATATGTTTTTCAACCTGTGGGAAGGTTCACGTTCCTTAAGTGATTGTTTAGTGCTTCCAAAATATACAAAAAACACACATCATACATTAAATCAGAAACAGAGCCTATGAAATAGCCCAAATTAATGAAAATCTTTTTACTCACATCATAAATGTTTGAAATTATTTTAGTTTGAGGTTTTAAGTTTTTAGAAAACTTTAGTTTGGGGGCCAGCACTGTGGCATAGTGGGTTAAGCTGCTGCCTTACATGCTGGTATCCCATATGGGTGCCAGTTCAAGTCCCAGCTGCTGCACTTCTGATCCAGCTCCCTGCTAATGCGCCTAGTAAAGCAGCAGAAGATGGTCCAAGTGCTGGGCCTCTGTAACCACGTGGGAAACCCTGATGAGGTTCCTGGATCCTGACTTCAGCCTGGCCCAGCCTTGGTCTTTGTGGCCATTTGGGTCGTGAATCAGTGGATAGAAGATCTTTCTCTTTATAACTTTGCCTTTCAAATAAATAAATAAATGTTTTTAAAAAGAAAGCATAATTTTTAAAAACATTATTAAATGGAAACATATTTCACTACAATTTTTATTATCGAAGTCATCATCCACAATTTGAAGAGTGGTAGTCAGGCAGGAATTCAGCTCCCTTATTCCATGAGTTCAGTATCTTCACAGTTTCTTGGCCATCCTACAAAATAATCACCAAGTGCCTATATTTCTAAAGAATAAGGTAGGAGTCTGCATTTGCCTTAGCAGTTGAGATAACAGCATCCTATATCCAAATGCCTGGATTCCAGTTCCCACTTCATTCCCAATCCTCCCTCTGGCAAATGTGCACCCTGGGATGCAGTGAGTGATGGTTCAGGTAAGTTGGTCCCTGCCACCCTCACGTGAGATCTGAATTGAGTCCCAGGCTGCTAGCTTTGGCCTGTCCCAGTCTTGGATGTTACAGGCTTGTGGGAAGTGAACTAGCAAAAGGAAGATTCTCTCTCTCACACTCTCTCACTCTCACTCTCTCCCTCTCTCCTGTCAATAAAAATAAATAAAAAGAGTAATTCAAACATCCACTAGTAAACTCAGATATGAAGTAATGATACTGAAGGCTAAGTGGCTGAAATATGGCATTGTTATTCTTTAGCACTTTAATAGCACTTCTAAGTAATGATGTCAAGGTATGTTTTTAAACCAGGATTTTTTTTTTTTTTTTTTTTTGGCAGAAATGGACATTCTGACAGTTTTAAAATATGTCACTGTCTGGACTTTGTCCACACTACAAAATAGAAGTTACGTTTCTCTTTCTTACTTTCCTGATGAATCCCTTTAGATTGACGTCACTGATGCAGGAGAGTAAAACACTGAAGTCTGGCTCTCTTATTTCCCAGGCGTGATTATTTGTTATACAGATGACAATGTGATGCTTCTGACCATTCCCATTTCCCTTTCCTACCTACTTTAAAATGTTAATTTTTGGTCTGACCTATGGAAACCATCAGCATCTGCCATAAGCTATGGTTATGAAGGGACTAGTTCATTTTAACTTCAGAAGATTTGCTTGTAGATTTTTTTAAAGATTCTTTGCTTCTTTATAGTTAAAGGAAAATTTTTCTCCCAAGTCCTTCTGAATATGTTGTTTCCCAACTACCATGTCATGTCAAAATTGTATATTGCTATAACTTATGAAAAGTACCAGGCAACTGAATATTTCTGAAGAAAAGTATATAACTCCTATGTAAATGGGGAAATATAGCCACCAACTTTAATAATATATCCTCAGTTACTTCCTTTGTTTAAAAAAAAAAGAATTTATTTATTTATTTGAAAGAGTTACACAGAGAGAGGAGAGGTGGAGAGAGAGAGAGGTCTTCCATCCACTGGTTCACTCCCCAATTGGCTGCAATGGCTAGAGCTGCACCAATCTGAAGCCAGGAGCCAGGAGCTTCTTCTGGGTCTTTCACATGAGTGCAGGGGTCCAAGCACTTGGGCCATCTTCTACTGCATTCCCAGGCCATAGCAGAGAGCTAGGTTGGAAGTGGAGCAGCCGGGACTAGAACTGGTGCCCATATGGGGTGCTGCCACTGCAGGCAGTTGCTTTACCCACTATGCCACAGCGCCGGGCCCCCCTAGTTTACTTCCTAATCAAAGATTTCTAAGAAAATTCTTGCTCTTTGATTTGGTAGAGGCACTGGGCACTTAGTGGGAGACAGAAATATAAGTTTTGCTTTAATGAGTGTAACATTCTCCTTAAGCTGTTAATTCAAGGCTATGAGTCTCAAACACTTTCTTATTGGCGTTCTGTTAACAATCTGTACTACCCTCTTATTCCTTATTGCTTCCCATTATATTTTATGTGTATCCCTTAGAAATTTTTTCTGTAAGTTAATCGAAAACTTTCTCATTTGGTTAAAACCTACTTATCCCTTTCTCAGGATTCCCTTGACCCCACACATAGCCCAAAACTGTTCTACCTTTGTATTAGCCAAGCACTCTCTCCTTTGTAGTACTTGTACCTTCAGTGTAATACCAGACCATGGGAAGGGAGAATGGAACAATCAAGGCTTGGTTAATGGAGTATTTTGTTATTAGGCTCAAAAACCAACAGGACTACATGTAACTGACCACCAGACAGTAATAAGCCATGAGGCAACTATCAAACCGCCCATCTAATGCTTAGCCATCTTTCCAGGCTGAACTCCAGTACCCGCTTCTTCAAGAAGCCTTCCCCGATCATCATCCCCTTCCTGTACCAGCCACAAGTGTTTCCTCATATTCTCTCCTAGTACAGTGTATGTGTTCTTCCTTTGTTGGCATCAATTTGCTTTGTATAGTGAATGCCTTTTTTATGTATACATGTTGGTCCAACTAATAAATATGAACTTCTTGAAGATTAGGAACTGTGAATATTTGAATAGATGCTCTGTTAAGTGAACTAATTAATAAATTTATACATTAACCAACCAATCTGTGAAATCAGCTTTAAGCAAAAGTAATGTTGTTTAAGCAAAAGTTCTGTAGTTAAGAAATCTAATGGTAATTATTTTTCATTCTGTCATACAGTATATTCTCATATAACAGATTACAAAAAAAAAAAAAAAACCACCAGAAAACCAAAGGCCTTCATTTAGAGAAAGCAGTATCTACAGGCAATGGTAATATAAGCCAACCACAAGACGATATAGGGCTTTATTGTTACTATCTCAGTATGTTATTTCTTCCAAAATCATAATCTGTGGTTCTTTTTATTTTTGTAATATGTATTGTCACATTTCATTTTTCTTTTATATATATTTTTTTAATTAATTTATTTATTTGAAAGAGTTACACAGAGAGAGGAGAGGCAGAGAGAAAGAGAGATCCTCCCTCTGCTAGTTCACTCCCCAACTGCTACAATGGCCAGACTGCACCCATCTGAAGCCAGGAGCCAGGAGCCTTTTCCGGGTCTCCTACACATGTGTAGGGGCCCAAGGACTTGGACCATCCTCCACTGCTTTCCCAGGCCACAGCAGAGAGCCGGATCAGAAGTGGAGCAGCCAGATCTGAACTGGCACCCATATGGGATGCCAGCACTACAGGCAATGTCCTTACCTGCTATGCTGCACCACTGGCCCCACATTTCCTTTTTCAACTCTGATTTTATTTATTTGGGTCTTCTACTTCTTTTGTTTAGTTAGTTGGGCCAATGGTGCATCAATTTTGTTTATTTTTCCAAAAAAATAGATATTAATTTCACTGATTTTTTGTATTGTTTTCTTGGTTTCAGTTTTATTTATTTCTTCTGTAATTTTAATTATTTCTTTCCTCCTATTAATTTTGAGTTTGATTTTTTTGTTGTTTTCTAGGTCCTTGAGATGCGTTGATAGGTCATTTATTTGGTACCTTTCCACTTTTTTCATGTAGGCACCAATTGCCATAAAATTCCCTCTTAACACTGCTCTTGCTGTATCCAGAAGTTTTGATATGTTGTGTTGTCATCTTCATTTGTTTCCAGAAATTTTTTTATTTTTCTCTTGATTTCTTCTGTGACCACTGTTCATTCAGGAACATGTTGTTCAGTCTCCATGTGTTTGCATATGATCTAGAGATTCTTGAATTGTTGATTTCCAGCTTCATTCCATTGTGGTCAGAGAAGATGCATGGTATGATTTCGATTTTTATTAACTTGCTGAGACTTGCTTTATGGCCTAGCATATAGCCTATCCTAGAGAAAGTTCCATATACTGAGGAGAAGAATGTGTATTCTGCAATTGCAGGGTGAAAAGTCCTGTACTGTGTTACAGATAACAACAATACATAACAATCCTTATGTCATTGTCCCTGAAAGTCATACCTTAATATTTGCTATGCTCCAATCACTGTTCGGATGAATAAGCATTATGAAATACAATTATATCCTCATTGTTGTTGATGCTTATATGTAGTAAAGTTGCTAATGACAGTTAACAAAAAACACATAATGAGATATAGTAGGTTAGAAACCTGAAAAAGGCACAAACTGGTTATCAGTTTCCTAAGAATTGACCAAAATTTAAAACATTTTACATAAGTAGCCAGAATGTCAGTTCTTGTAAGATGAAATTCTAAATTTTAAACTAAAATCTTAGAACCCATAAAATGTAAGAATGTATTCTTTGCCTAACAATATGTTGCCTGTTTTGTAAATTTAAAAACAAACCATATTTCAAATGATAGGTACTTCTTTAATTTAAAAAAAAAAAGATTTATTTATTTATTTGTAACTCTTTACAAAGAGAGAGAGAGATCTTCCATCTACTGATTCACTCTCTAAATGGCCACAAGATCTTCCATCTCCTGGTTCACTACCCAGATGGCTGCAACAACCAGGGCTAGGCTAGGCCAAAGCCAGGAGCCAGGACTTCTGGGTCTCTCATGTGG